GGAAACTCGGCATCGTTAGCCTGCATGACAAATCCTACCAAGCATAGATTTACATTTTGTGGGGAAGAAAGACAACTTCCTTCACCAGACTCCATGTGCCCTTGTTTTCTGGAAGACCAACTATATGATAGCTGATGGAAACTCATGTCAATTAAAAAAAAAAAAAAAAGCCTTGAAAGAAATGTTTGGCTACTAGTCGAGGCAGTTAGTATATGACGAGGCTGATACTGCTAATTCACTGGAACATGCTGAGAATGCAGCCAAAGTTTCCATGGTGCTCAAGTCCATCCCATGTATGGACTTGGAGTACATAGGGTGGGCAACATTCTCCCTGCATTGTGATGGGTCCATGGGGGACAGCAAAAAGCAAACAATACTTCTGGTACAGTGAACGGAGTCTGAGGTTTCTTCTGTATTCCTTAAACACACATGCTGTATTGTGGTAGCTCGTCTGATAATGTAGATGACCAGTAAGCAATTAGATGATAGCATATACAGCACGGGCACACAGACAAATATTTATTAAGATGCATACTCATGGTAAAGCCATGTGTTTTGTTTTAAGTTGTACAGAAAGTCTAATTTACTTGAATGTAACATTAGTGGATCTTCATAGGAAATCTTGGTTTGGGGGCTGAGTAAAGGCACTTGGCATTGTCTGACAATTAGAGTTCAATCCCCTGGACTCACACATTAGGAGGAGAAAACTGATTCCCACAAGCTGTTCTCTGATCTCTAAATAATAATTGTAGCACTGTGACACACGCGCATACCAAGTAAATAAATAGATGTAATTTTAAAAAATTTGAAACAAAATCTTGGTTTGGGTTTAGATTCACTCAGCAGATTTAATGCATTGAACTGGAGATATTTAGGGATATAGAAATGTACATAGAATGATGATGAGCACATGGGCTTGAGTTTTAAGTGGTGTGTCTTCAGTAGGGTGACGAAATTTCACACCCTCCAGCTCAGGACAGGTGAACCAACTTTGTGCAGTGTGTTTGTGCGTCCTTCCCATCACTTGTCTAGTCATCTAAGTTATTAGTAGGCTATCATAATACGGCAGTGTTTGTGTTGAGGTGACCCTAACATGGTCCCTATACTTTGTCTACCTCTCATCACAACACTGCAAGAGGAAAAGAAAGTATAATAAGATATTTTCAGAGAGACAAAGAGAGTAGGTTCATATAATTCTCAGTACAGTCTATCATTATCTATTTTATTGCTCACCATGACCGTTAGTCTTTCGCTGGGCCTGGCTTATAAACAAGACCATATCCTAGCAGGTAAGCATAGGCAAAAAACAAACTGCATATATTGGTGGTACTCAGGCCTCCACTGACTTCCGTACTGCCTGGTGGCTGCAAGCAGATTACACAATTAGAGTCACCATCTAGACTGGTTTCCCTGCAAGAGTACCTTTCAGTGCCCTACTGAGATAAAGACAAAACAGTACCAGGATTCTGTCAAGATATTGCCAATTCATGCTACTAGGCTGGGATCCTTTGAAACTGCCCAAGAATGCTGGCATGCAAAAGGCTCTGGGAAACCAAGAAGAAATGAATGCAGCTGGACCTCATGATTCTAAGACAGATCTTTTCTCCTTGAATATTGGTTAGCCTTCCCAGAGCTGGCAGCACTGTGGGGAGCCATGTATACAGCAGTTGGCATGGCAGTAAGATGTTTTGTTACATTGCCGTGGTCTGAGTTACGTGGCAGAAAGTGGGACCCACTCAGCTTCAAGGACAGACTGAAGCAGGAAGCTTTAGAGATGAGGCTCAATGCAAAGCTCCTACAGGAGACCAAGGGCAATAATGGTGACCAACCAAAGGCAGTACATGAGCGAAGATGAGAAATGAGTCAAGAACTGATCCTCTTCCTCCCAGGAGCCATCTTTGAGATGGACCAGTGCTATGGATACATGGGAGACCTAGTGGACATAGTGTGTAAAGTACCCACTGTGGATGGAAAGATGGAGGTGGGAGGGCAGAGCCACAGTCCCCAGGCAACCTAGTCCTCCCAGGCAGTTATTAGTACCAGGAGAAAGGGTTTGGTGCCAGGAACCCAAGACCAATTTGATCCCAACTCTGCCAAGCTAGATGGTGATCCTGGCAAGTCCTTCACCCTGTAGTGGCTTCTTGTGGCCGCAGAGCAAATTTTCACAAGCCAGAGTGAAAACCGCAGATAAGCTTTCCCTTGAAGTTCCAGAAGCTGGAACCGAGATGGCATGCTGTGGTAGAGCCATGCTTGCTTGGAAGGCTCTGGGGAAGATTCTTTTACCTTCTCCAGCTCCCGGGGTGTCTTTGGGCTTGTAGTGCCTCCCCCCATGCTCTACCTCCATCTCCACACAGCCATCCTGTGTCTTCAACCACCCCTCATCTCTCTTATAAAGACATTAGTCATGAAATTTAGGACCAAATGTAAACCTTAGAATGTTCCATCTTGGCACCCTTTATTATATCTGCAAAGACCCTTCTTGAGAATGTGATGGCATTTACAAGTACTGGGGGTGGGGCTTGGGAACCTGCCACTCAGCCCACTCCAATCCTCTTGCCTCAGCTTCTTCTGCACTTGTCTTACTGAGTGTTGAAAGGATTCAATTTATACAGAACCCTTCGCAACAGCTGTCAGCCACGGTGCTGTTACTCACTGAGCAATGCGTGCCAGGACTTTGTCAGGTTCTCAACTCCCACCTGGCCCCTGAATCCAAGCACTGTGATTCTGAACCACTAAAGCAGCTGTGCAGAGATTATGACATCAACATCTCTGTTCTGTCATCAGCCACAAGAGCGCAGAGAAGGGAGAATCAGCTTCCCTACAACTGCGAACATCTGTCATTTACCATTCAGAGCAGCCTGGCGGCATCCATCACCTGCAGCTTCTACACTGAGTCTCAAGTGCGCTCAGGACCATGGGCATGGCGGGGAATGTAAGAAGCACTGAGGCTCCCTGTGCCCATGAGTACACCTGTGTCTCTGTCACCAGGTTATAGTGACCAGGCCCTGAGGTTGCATAGGCAAACACCATACCCTTTCTCTCCTAGATCCCCCAGGTCAGGAAGAAGACAGAGGAGTAGATAGAGTGTGGTACGGGAATATAGTCTCAGGAGCTGTCTAGCTCAATGGCTGCCCTGATGGATAATTAAGGAGCAAGTGGGCTCATTTACTTGGATTCTGGATGATCTTGGAATGGATAGAAAAATTTAAAATCTACAGTATCTGGAGAGAGCTAGCCCTTAGGTCAGGGGAGGGTGGAGTTTAGAGTGGTCTCCACATCTCTGTTGTGTGTTGCTGGATGCGTGGTGGAGTGGCTGAGCAAGACAGAGGAAGGGGAGGTTTGAATAACAATCAAACTGCCATTCATAAGGCTTCAGGTTTACAGTTTTCCCAGTGTGAGTCAGGTGTCCTGTAGGGCAGCTGCTGAATCATCCCAGCCACCTAGCTGTTCTAGTTTTGTGTAGCTGTGCTAGAACACCCTGACATAAAGCAGCTTTGGGGAAAGGGGGCTTATTTCAGCTCACCATTCTAGGTTCCTGTCCGTCACTGTGGGGAAGCCACAGTGGCAGGAGCTTGAGACAACTGGTCACATAACACCCACAGGCAAGAGCAGAGGGAAATGAATGTATGAATGCTCACTTACTTGTGCTCAGACCAGTTCCCCCACTCATACAGTTCAGGACTTTTTGCCTAGAGAATGGTGCCACCCACAGTTGGCAGACTCTTCCCACAACAATTAACTCAGTTAAAATAATACCCCCATAGGCATGCTCATGAGCCATCAGGGTGAAGACAACCCCTCATTGAGACTCTCTTCCCAGATGATTCTAGGTTATGTCAAGTTCCCAAAGATAAGCAATACACCAATGAATAAACCATAGTTACTACCCACATTTGACAAAACAGGTAAGCACAGTAAGTGATGTGTTAAACTCAGTCCCAGCTAATCCCACTATATTCATATTTCCAACACAGCCAGTTGCCGTTTCCTAAAGCTCTTAATTCTATCATTCCCCAGTGTGGTAGAACATATTCCCGTACTGAGAGAATGTTGGTCAGGCAGGAATTTGGCCAAAGTTTTTCCTGTCTCAGCTGTGTGGCTTCCCTCCCACCCATGCTTCTCTCTGAACCTAATCTGTTAAAGGTGTCAAATGGGAGCATGTTTCTAGAGGCTGTGGTCTCGAGGAAAGGGAAGCTTATGGACAAGAACACTCAAAAGGGCAGCGTGAAAAGAAAACAGACAGAATCTGGCTGGGATCTGACTGCTCCACTGATTTAAGCTCCAGATACAGCATGGTCAGGCACTAGTGGAAAATCCAGCCAGCCTGCCCTTTCTTGCCTGCCCTGATCCAATTTCTTCTTGTCACCCTCAGTGCAACCTGAAGCCCTGACGGCTTCTGTCACATGTGTGGTTTCCTCAAACAAATGGGGAGTAAAATTCACATAACATCAAATTAGCCTTGCTGATCTGTGCCATCCCAGGCAGGTAGCAAACACCTCCACACTGCTCTGCACTCTTCACTTCTGTCCCATTTCAAAAGCATTGCTCCTGCTAGGGATGTAAACCCATTATCCTGACAGCACCTGCTACCCCTACCCTCCTGTCTTTGGCACCAGAAGTCCACTCCGTCTGCTCTAACTTGTCTAACTTGCTGCCTGGATCATTACTGAGCTGGGATCCAGGTGCAGAGCACTTACCATTCTAACGGCTGCCACCTGGCCCACCTTGATACAGAGGCAGAATGGCAAGCCTCCCAACCCACGTGCTCAGGTCTTACTCTCCACCATAAGGGGAGCTACACTAGGGTCTTCCACTGTGACTCATGCCCATCCACCTCCATGACTCTTACTTTGGGGACACACACACAGCCCCTTCCTGCTTGTTTCAGACCCTGCTTCCCAGGGGCAGAAGCTGGTGACAGTGAACTAAGCGCCAGCAAGCTTGTCTCCTTATGCACAAGTCAAGGTATGCCTGATATTCTCTCTGTTTTGTCATTACAGCCCCTGAAGTCTTCCAGGTCTATGTAGATGGAGGCCCCGGATACTCGTACCCCGTGGACTGGTGGTCTCTGGGTATCACAGCCTACGAGCTGCTACGAGGCTGGGTAAGTCCTGTAAAATGGGAGATGGAGCTTCAGTCTGAAAGGCTGATGAGATGCCAGGAGGAGGTGCTGGACCAGGATTCTGGTCACCCCTCAGGGAGTTCTGGCTCATCCACTAATTTTTTGGTAGGGAAAGAGATCCTTCTGCCAGCCCAGGGAAGAGGGTCACAGAAGGTGAATGACTTACTCCAGGTTGAAGCACCCTGGCCCCCCACTTTCAAACTCCTTCCTCTGCACTCACAATTGCATCCAAGTCCAACTTCCCCACTTGATTGAGTGTTCCCTCTCTTGTTTCTCTTTCATTTACCCGCATCTTTCCCAAATACATAACACAGGAATCTCTAAGGCTGATAAGGGACAGTCAGTGAATGTTTTTATTTTTGGCTCCTTTGCACTGAATTGCTGATACTTTTATTTAAGTGTAAACTCTTGTGACCAAACTACTTTTGAAGCATGTTTCCTTTGCACGGGTATAATTGGAAAATCGTGTCATCTCAACTCCCAGGCCCATGGTTTCCTCAGCTATAGAATAGAGATAAGGTTTTGTGGAACTGGCATTAAAGGACATTTTGTCCCTGGACTGTGACGTTCTCCCTGCTTTACTGTCTCTGTGGATCCAATGTGCAAACCAAAGTTTGTTAATCCCACTCTCTGCAAGTCTAACACAGCTCTGCACCCATTTGAATGGATATGTGGGTATTCATGACAACAGAAGGAAGCCTCCATGAAGGCAGGATCTTATATTGGTGGGAGAATTCCTTCTTTAGGATAATGGAGAATGAGTGACTACTTCTTGAATGGATGAATGAATGATGAGAGCCGCCTGTAACTGAACTCCTCCATAAATACAAAGATTTTCAATCTAGTTCAGCCAACATTTTTTTTTCTGCTTTTGAACTCAGTTTTTTTCCATGAATTCCTCAAAAACTTAATTATGGTGCATGACATTTTTAGAATGCAGAGAAAATGAGAACTTGTTTGCTTCCTCGGGCACTGAATAAAAGACTCAGCACTCCATGGGTTCACTTGTTTCTGGCAGGTCCTTTTCGGTTCTGTGGCCCTCAGGGAACGCAAGCATTCCCAAACCCCAGGTGGACTAGGATGCTTGCCCCCCCATCCCCAGGAAGCTGCGGTTTTGTGCAATCCATCATGCAGGTAACCCTGTTGCACAGTGGCCTCAGCAAGAGAAAGCCTGCCAACAGGAAGGATGCTTGGCTATTATTCCTCAAGGGCCAGAGCAGTTGCCAGTAATGGATTGGAAAAAAAAAGCCATAAGTAAAGAGAAAGCCTGCTTCTTCAAAATCAAGTTTCTCGTTTCTCATTCTTGTGAGTTTTCTGCTCATAGACCACTTTCAAGGGAAGAGAGAGCGTCATGGGGCCAGTGAGGGCCTCTGGTATAGGGGCAGTGTAACTGCAAAAAGAACAGCTGGAAGAACCAGGAGAGCGTTTCTCCCAACTGTCTTTGTATGGCAGAATTGTCCACCATGCAGGGAGAACAGAGAGACTTCGTCTCCTGTGTGAGCTTATTTGTAATCTGGGCAAGAGGTGCAGCTTCTCTTGAAACCCGGAGTAGAATGTCAGCACTTACCCCTACCTTGGAAAAAAACAACCCAGATGAATACCACTCATGATCACAGTTCCTGCATGGAGCAATGTACCATCAGCCTGGTATCAGCTTTAGCAACAGAAAAGGCAGACTGGAATGCTGTCAGGAGAGTGTAAAGAGACTCCGCCTCCTGACTGTGCCCCATAGAAAATACTTAGTGATCTGAACTGCAAACACTATCCCTGACAGATGATCATGACTTTTGGGATCCAGGGGGCAATTTGCCTGTGGAGAGAAGTCACTTCATGTAGCTGTAACAAACAGGGAATTTTCCTTCTTGTTCAATGAAAAGCTGCTTCCTCATAACAAGGAAAGGGACTCTGAGAGGAACCTCGTGGGCTCATCAGGGACCCCATTGGTGGCTCCTAAGCAGTTGGAGTGTTCAGATGCTCTGTCAACCTCTGTCATATAATAACAGTTGTATCTCCCCAGCAGGGGTGTGTGGAGAGTTAATGACATAGTGATGTAAATTATTCAGCACAGCGTGGTACCTGGTAGTCAACACTATACAAGCCCCAGCTTCCTAAACCTCAGCAAGACTCCCACCCAAAGAGGCCTGCTTGGCCTTCCCAGCTTAGCACCCTTCAAACACTACCCAGGCTCTAGGGGCAGAGGCTGGGCCCTGCCTGGCTACCATCTATTAGATGATAAGGCTGCGGGCAAGGAAGCACAAATGTTTCTCCATACTGTAATTCATCCTTACCTTATCTGAGCCCTGGCTTCCTCATTCATAAAAGGAAGATAATACATGCAGTCACTGTGGAGTAGGAGTGGGGGTAACGGGACCAGAGAGAGCCCTGGCAGCCTGGGGCTGAGGGGGGAGAGGGCTGCTGCTGCTGTTAGTGTGTAGGCAGCATGCTTGCACTGGAGGAGGCTCTGGATGCAGCTCAGGCAAGGCAGACAGAGCGGGGAAGAGCAGAGGGGAGTTCCCTGTGACATCTAAGTTGCCTCATCTGTGAACCACACTGCTGTTGGCAATAGTGTGAGCAGGATAGAGGGTGCATTGGTACGGAGCCAATCCTCAGACTTATGCAGGGAAGCGACAAAGTGGCAGTTGCATATGGATAGTAACTTAGGTGTCACTTTTTTTCTGGAATCTGCTACAAGGGGAGAGCCTAGGAAAAGAGGTTCAACTCCAGTGCTGTGGACATCTGGGCCAAGTCATCCTTTGGGGTAGAGATGATCTGCAATATGGTTCTATATACTAGCAACAAGCAGAAACCTCCACCATCCATTTATGACAACACAATAGCTTTAGTCGGGGGAAGTGGGAGGGAATACTGCTCTGGACTGAGAGCCTCTGCCATGTGATCAAGAGGACTGACACCTGCCTGGGAGGACACAGTGCAAGGGAGCCCCCTATCGGTAGAGGGTGAGGCTTGGAGACCCATTCAGGACCATGCTGCCCTCTTAGCTTGACTACCAACAACTTACCTCCTTGTGTTCCCTCTTGCCGTTAACTTCAGACAGCACCTTTTGAGGACTGTAAGAAAAAGTATTGGGGTATAGTGAGGCCAAGTCAATAGAGGAAGGACATCTCAAGCGCCCTGTGGAGAGAGGCTCAAGTGCAGAACCAAGAACTGCTGTGTGCGTCCCTGGAGCAGGGTTCAACCTATGGCTGCTAATTTGTCTCAGTGAATCAGATAGACCACAGTGCCTGGAGTCAGAGTTGAGAGCCCAGAAGGTTATTCTTCTCTTTCCAGGGCACATTCCAGGGTGGTTCGAGCTTTCTCATCAATTCCCATCATTGTGGTTTCTGTGGGGATCATCTAGTTCCAGAGGGGAAACATCCTGAGGCTTTGGTGTTTCAACTTGCCTGAAGGACAGTTATTCTGAGTAAAGAGATTAGAGGGCATGCATGGGATCCGGTGGTCTGCCAAGCCCACTCGAGCAGATGAAATGACAGGACTCCACCATTTCTCTCCCTTTTCAATGCTTCCATTTCATAACAAATTGCCCTTTTCAAAAAAAAAAAATAGTTTCCTGAAGTAAAGACTTACCTGCACTCTGCAGTAAGCCACATATTTTCCTGCTGCTGGAAACCATTTTTGTCATCAGGCCTTGCAATCACTGAACCGTCTAAAGACAGTGGCTTCTGAATTGGGGCATCCTAAGGACAATGATAATAAAGCATTAGTGGAATCCAGCACTGTGAGCAGATGCAATATGAGTGTTGATACTTGCTGTTTGACTTGGAGCAAGGCCTGTGTCTCCATGCTCACCCACACAAAGGAGAGCTGAACCTGGAGCCTAAGGGTTAGGAGCACCTTGGCTGCAGTGCCCCAGGATGACTAAATGCACATGCTGTCGAAAGCTTAAAGTTCTCATGATCAGTGACAGGTCATGGCACAGACAATAGAACACTACATAAGCATGAGGACTTGAGTTTGATCCCCTAGAATAAAAGAAACTCATGTGCAGTGGCAAACACTAATAGCCCCATAGCCAAGGAGGCAGAAACTGGATGCTCCCAGGAACTCTCTGGCCAGCCAGCCTAACCTATTTGGTGAGCTCTAGATTGAGTAAGAGAATCTGTCTCAAAAATACCAGGTGGAGGAAGAATGAAGAAGATACGCAAAGTCAACGCCTGGCCTATGCGCGCGCGCGCGCACACACACACACACACACACACAAACATGTACGCACATGCATGCACAAACTCTCAAATACAAAGTTCTCTTGATTAGCACTGGTGTCGGTGTGGCTAGTCTGCTCCCTCTGGGCGTGGGGAGAATTTCAGACATCAGGGAGAAGTTTCTTGGTGGCCAGATGGAAGTGCAGAACTCATGAGAGTTGATGAGTGGCCAGGACAATAGAAACTGAGATGTCTGTGACATGAAAAGCCTTCCCTTTGACCTGGCTAGTTCCTCACCTGAGTTTGTTGGGTTTACGGCTTTGGAAGCCCTGTAGAAAGAGCAGAGAAATCGAGGTCCCTGGGAAGGCCCTGTCTCTTGAGCCTTAGTTTCTTGGCATTTAAAGTAAGGATGGAAATGAGAAATGTTTTGTTTCCTGACATCCTTTGTCCCCAGTGTGTGTGTGTGTGTGTGTGTGTGTGTGTGTGTGTGTGTGTGTGTGCATGCGCGTGCACGTACATTTCCTGCCATTACACGTTCTTCAAACAAGTACGTCCTGCCTCCCCCAAGGCATTTTCTCTGACCCTGGCACTGTCCTTTGTTGCAGAGGCCGTATGAAATCCACTCGGCCACACCCATTGATGAGATCCTCAACATGTTCAAGGTGGAATGTGTCCACTACTCCTCCACGTGGTGTGAGGGCATGGTGGCTCTGCTGAAGAAGGTAAGGAGTCAGGAAGCTGCGTGGACAAAATAGTCAGTGCACTAACACCCAGTAATAAACGTTGCCATGGGGTCATACATAGATCACAAAGCCCAGCACAGTGCAGTGTGAGACAGCATGGTCCAGGATCTTTCCAGATCACTACAAGATCCTAACAAACAGAAATATCAACTGTTTGTGGGTGCTGGCCTGCTAGGCCTTAGGACTTCCTGGGGCAGGAACTGCCACTGGTTCTCCAAGTGCAAGCTCTGCTCCTGAAGCCTCAGCCTCACTTGACACCTGGAAGCCTGCTGGAAATGCACATCCCTGACCTCCTGAGTGAGACGCAGGAGCTTGAGCAGCTATCTGTCTTGGCCCAGTTCCCGGGACTCTGAGCACTCTTCAGGTCAGCCCAGGCAGGAGATCCAGGTGTCCCCTTGTGAGGTTCTCTCCAGGCCTCAGGTACAAGGAGAGGAATATCACATATGATAAGCACAGAAATTTTTACTAGAATGATAATGATAGCAGAAGCCTTGGGTGAAGTCTGTGGGTCCTGTCCCACATATGGCTCTCCTCTCATCCCCACAAGCTCGTAATGACAGCAGGCAAGGGTCACCACCCTTAGAAGAGAGACAGAAAGGCTGAGACTTGAAAAAACACAATGATTTAGTCTACACCACTGATTTGTCACAAGGCAGAGATGAGATTAGTACCCAAATCACCCACAGGAGTCATTTTTCTCATCACTGTGACAAAAATGCATGACCAAAGCCACTTAAGGGTTGGAGGGCTTATTTTGGCTCATAGTTCAGGTGAGGAAGGCATGGCATCAGGGCATGGGGCAGCTGGTCACGCTGTGTCCACAGTCAGGAAGCAGAGAAAAATGAAGGCAGTGCCCAATTCATTTCTCCAGGACCCCAGTTCATGAGATGCTGCCACCCACATCCAGATGGGGCTTCCCATCCCAGTTAACCCAGTCTAGAACTTCCCACACTGACATGTCCAGAGGCCTTTCTTCTGGGTAATTCTAGGTCCAGTCAGGCGGACAATGCTGGCCATCACAAAGTCCTAACTTTGGATCTAGCGTTTTGGTCCCAGCACAGTTGTAACAACTTGAGTTGCTAATTAGTTGAATTGCTTTAGATGGGTGCCCGCAGTTGGTTGTTCTTAACCTCAGCTCATCACTAGAGGCTGCTAGAAGCCTTACATACTGCCTATACCTGCCACTCCCCTACCTCAGGCAAACTCAGTGAGTCAGAAGCGCCGGCCCTGACACACGCAAGAGCATCAGCTTGTTCTTGACACTTGCTCCTAGATGCCATCCAAGTAGAGTTTGTTTAAGTCTGTACCCACTGCTGTGAAGAAGCCACTGAACAAAGGACATGTTAATAGGCAGATATGGTCCTTGCCAATTGTCCTTCTATGCTGTGATCCTGAGGATTCAATGTGGGTAGCTGGGATGTTTCTGCAATGACAGTTGACACCTGGAAAAAAGTGATGATGGGAAAGGGACCCTCTCTTGCCCTTTTTGTTGGCACTGAGTGACCCACTCCTCTTTAGCACATGCCTGGTCCTCAACAACCCTGTTGGGCCTCAATCTGGCCCTGTGCTGGAAGCTGAGAAGCTGCCTCCACTCTTACTGCTCCCACACAAGGACAAGGGCCAGGCCATTGGCTATTCATTTTAGGTGGCAGTCCCAGGGTTAAGTCCTGTCCTATCATGTTTATCCCAGTGGTCTTTGCATCTCATAAACTAGAGTGTTTTATAACACAGTGCAGGAGCTGAGGAGATGGCTCATTTGGCAAAGTGCTTGCTTTGCAAGCATGGCGGCCTAAGTTTGTATTCCCAGAGCACAACTAAAAGTCTGGGCTCAACAGTATACTACACTTGGAAGGTAGAGACAGGAGGATCCCTGGAGCTCGCTGGCCAGCCAGTCTAGCCAAATCCGTGAGCTCCATGTTCAGTTAGAGACACTGTCTCAAATATAAGATGGAGGACAATTGAAGAAGACATGGCAACCTCTGGCCTCTACATACATGGACACACACATGCCTGCACACACGTCTACACACAGAGAACAATGGACAAGTGTTTTGTACACATGTGTACCACATACGTGCCTGGTGCCTGTGGATATAAGAAGAGAATGTAAGTTATGAGCTACCACATGAGTGCTAGGAACCAAATCCTGGGTCTTGTGTAAGAACAGCCAGTGCTGTTCACCACTGAGCCATCTCTCCAGCCCCCTGTAGCCGTTTTTACACTGTAACTTTATTAGCAGAAACTGGCCTTCAAGAGAAGTTAAAAGCTGACCACTCAGTTAGGACACAGAGGTTGCCTTGTAACTCATAGGAGAAAATTCTATTTCAGTTTTGTGAAACCAAGTCAGAAGTCCTCTGATGAGGCAGCCAGGCTGTTCTTTCAAATCAAAGCTTTTGTGAACATCAGCAAGGGGTGCTTATTAGAGGATTGAGCCCCAAAGAGGGACCCAGAGGCTGAAAACTTAGTCTCTCCCCCAAGAGTCACATGCCCTCAGAGAAAGGAGGTGACCTTGAAGTCTCTCCATAGCTGTAGGAGTACATTTAGAGCTCCAGAGCTAACCTAGATGGGACAGGCCACTGCCCAGCATGGTACACAAGGACTACGTGTTGGGTGAGATGCCATGTTCCAAGCCCATGCTCACCCTGGTAGGATGCATCATTCACAGAAACGCCTTTGCCCTCTGACCGCAGCTGCTGACCAAGGACCCCGAGAGCCGCCTGTCCAGCCTCAGTGACATTCAGAGCACGGCCTACTTAGCTGACATGAACTGGGATGCGGTGTTCGAGAAGGCACTGATGCCCGGCTTTGTGCCCAATGTGAGTCATACCACCCCCTTCAACAGGTCCCTGCCTGGTATTAAGCATTACCCCTGCTAGTGGCTGATGAACTCTCCAAAGATCACTGAAGTGAGGCACCAACAGGTTCATGGTTCACTGACATCCAGGATATGCAGACCAGATTTGCAGGTGTGCTTCTTACAGCGGGGCCGTGGAGTGCTGAGCCTCCCTGGACTGCTGAGCCTCCCTGGCTGCTCCTGCCCCTCTGAACAGGTATCAAGGGCTGTGCTAATGCAGATGCTGGTTGGTCACAGGGAACCTGCCATCCCCTGAGAGCTCATCCTCATTGGCCTCTTCTCAGAAAGTCCAGGGCACTGCTCTAGAAGGCAGCAGTGTTAGTGCCATGTGGATGTGGATGCGTGGGTGATGAGAGCCAACAGTAGTGAGTGGGCACACTATGCAGGCATCAAGTTCTTTGAACTTCCCATGTGTTAGCTCATGGAGGCTTCATGCCAGCCCAAGAGTGGATCTTCTTGGTATTCTGAGTGAGGTTAACTAATTTTCCCAAAATGCCCTGGGAAGAGTCAAGCAGAGCCTCAGGCAAGGCAGGATCCAAGGCCTGCATTTGAGTGGATGAATGGATGGGTGACAGGCCACTCAGGAGAGACTTGAACCTGAGTTCAAGCTTTTTCTTGGGAGAGGGAAAATGCTGAGGTCAAATGTGTGCAGCAGAGAAGGGATTCTTAGCCAAGTTCAGGAAGTCAATGCTGATAGAAGGAGCCAGGGCCCATGGGACTCCGAAACAGAACAGAGTTGAATGTGTGCGTGGATCTCCCTGAAAGGCAGGAAGTAACCCCAAATGTGTTCCTCCATTTTCTCATGTCAGCCTCATTGTCCTCACCTTACAGCAAAGGCAGGAAGCTCTCTGTGAGTTTGTGGACAGTAAGTGCTGCATAGCAAGACTATGTCTCATCCTAGGCTATCTCAAAAGTTCATTAATTAAAATTTAAATTAAATTAAACTATAATAAGGAAAATAATGTCTTGTGTGTCTATAATGAAATAATTAGTAAAAAAAAAAAAAGGGGGGGGGATAAAATGGCATTTAGACCAGTGCTTCTCAACCTGTGGGTTGTGACGCTTTTGGGAGCTAAACTACCTTTTTACAGGGGTCGCTGAAGACCATCAGAAAACAGGTATTTACATTACAATTCATATCAGTAGCACAACTACAGTTGTGATAGAGCAACAAAAATAATTTTATATTTGGTGTACACTACAACATGAAGAGCTGTATTAAAGGGTGGCAGCATTCAGGAAGTGGAGAGCCACCAATTTAGACAAAAGGAGTTAACAGGGTGTGATTGCCCCAGCTGGGACTGAGTGGATCTCTGAATGGATAGTGTCTGTGGTGATTCCATCATCAGAGAGAAACATAAGGCATCCAGGGTGCCAGCTAATGTCATTTCCAGATGTAAAAATACCTGGCTATGTGCAAAGGATGCACAGTCAGTGATGAGTGAGATAATCACAAGCCATGTTTTTCTCTCGGCTTCCCTTCAGAAAGGGAGACTGAACTGTGACCCCACATTTGAACTTGAAGAAATGATTCTAGAATCCAAGCCACTTCACAAAAAAAAGAAGAGGTTGGCCAAGCATCGGTCCAGAGACAGCACAAAGGACAGCTGTCCCCTGGTGAGACTTCAAGGGAGGGTTTTGTGGGGAAGAAGGGAGGTATGGAGGAAGGTTTCTTCTTATTCACAGGTTATTTCAGCCTATATTCTTTCCTTTCCTCCCTCTGTGTCCTTGGGAGAGCATTTCCAAGGCTCCAAGAGATGCCAGCCCTAGGGATTTTCATACTCCTTGAATGAAATGGTGTAGTACTGGGTATAAAATCCATGCAGTAGGGTGCAGTTTTCCTCCATACCCTAAGTTCCCAGAATAATGACCCATGAGACTCATTAAATATTATACAAACACCTAGGCCATATAGCTAGGCTTTTCTCTGACTAGCTCATAACTTGAAATAACCCATTATGCTAATCTACATTTTGCCATGTGGCTGGTTACCTGTGCTCAGGTACGATGCATCTGTCCTCCTCACATCTTGTGAGCTGAATCCCAAGCATCTGGCTCTATCCCAAAATCCTTTCTCCCTGCTGGATGGGCCACCTTCAATTTCTTGCCTCAGGAATAGGCCATTAGCTTTTTTATTGACAGGTGATAATATCCATACAATACAAGAGATTCCTTCACAAACCCCAGGCACACCTTCCATATGCTTCAAAATGCTTTAGGATTATTTTCATTACTTGACACAACACAAATACTGTGTGCAAAGGTGTTGGGCGTTGCTGTTCAATACAAAACTCACCCATGCAGGTCTAACTGCAAAGTACGTAAGTAAGATGTGATGGATGATGACACTCAACTGGGGCTCTGTGACAGAGATGAGTCTAAGGAGGGTGACTTGCATGTCACTTCATTCTTGTGGAGTTTGCATAGTGTTCAATGCATTTCAAATCTTAAGTTTTGTTTTATAGAAACTTTTGGAATTTTTGTTCCTCAACACTTTCGGACTGTAGTTGGTTGGATCTGAGGTCACAGAGTACCAACTGTACTTTCTGTTTTTGAAGTAAATGAAATGCCACCAGCAAATGAATGATCTCTTATAGAGCCGCTCTATGCAAAAATGACTAAACAGGGAGTACCCACACTCCTACCATCCATAGTGAGAACCCCAGGAACAATATAAGGCATCACAGTCCCTGTGTACCTTTTAGGAAGGGTCTTCTTCAGGAACCCCTCCCCCACTTGAACCCCTCCCCCACTTGCCCCGGCTGCACTATATCAGTCCATCACAGTGGGAAAGGCATGGCAGCATGAGCTTGAGGCAGCTGATCTCATTGTGCCCACAGTCAAAAAGTAGAGAGAGGGGAATTCTGGTGCTCAGCTCACTCCTCTTTATTCACTTTAAGCCACCAGCCCATGAGATGTGCCACCCACATTTCCAGTGTGTCTTCCCAGCTTAGTTAATCCAGTTTAGAAGCCCCCTGGCATGGGAGCCCAGAGGTTTGTCTCCTAGATTATTCTAGATCTTGTCACTGGCTGTCCTCTCCACATGGTCAGGCATCTTCATATCCAGCAACAACATAAGTGGAAACTGGGGGGATCTGAGAATTGTGCTTGATTTTTTTTTTTTTTCTCAGCGGATGAAATCAGCAGTGTTTCACCATGTACACCGCATTGCAACATTGTAGACAGAAAGTCATCAAAGAAAACTCTTAAAAATTGCAGGAAGGAACTGAAGTGTAGCTCTCCACAGCTGATGGCCTCTGAAGGGGGGGCAGGTGAGGGGACAACTCACTTTTCTTTAAGGAGCTGGCCACCTGGAGTGTGACCATGCTTCAGTGAGTATATGGGCAACTCCAATAGGACTTCTTCTTCTTTCCATTGAGTTATCTAAATCTTTGAAGTTTGGCCAAATAAACCAATTTCAGCAACACGAACAAAACAGAAAATAAATACTCTACAATCGATCCCACCCCTGGGTCAACCACACCCTGACAAATCCTCTACTTCTCATTCTAATGTTTTATGCACACAGTCTGATTTTCTAAGTAATTATTTAATCGTACTTCTTTAGTGTCAGTAACCATCACACCATCTGAGCTCTTCTGACTTCCTCACAGTTCCCTGGCTGGCAACTCCATCATTCCACTTTTCCTTCCATCTTTCCATGGCCTCTCTGGGTCTCTGACTCTATGTGCTATTCATGCAAAGACACTAGTCATTGACTTCAGCCCCCAGGACATTCCACCTTAACTTGAAGACCTGACCTCAGATGCAGCCATATTCAGACCCTGTGGCTGAGGGACTAGACATACCCTGGGGACACAACTGTCCACAACAGACCCTTCCCCCTATAAATACAGGGTTTTTTTTTTTTTTTTTTTTATAATTTTGCTATTACCTTAGTATAAGATGAACATAACCTCTGGTGCAAAAAGCTTATTTTATTGCTCTAATTTAAAAATAAATAAAACCATCTTTCCAGGCCCTGGAAGCCTCGTAGGTCCATGGCCCTGAGCCAATTATCCCAGAGGCTCACAAAGGGAAACATGCTTTCTTGTCATCATGTGCTATCTACATGCAGCTTCTAGGGGGTGTCCCTGTCACATTCTGATCCTGGAAGGAGGGCCTGGCATTAGTGTCTTGATCTGAAGACCTTTTCCTCTGTGTCCCTAAGCAAGCTTGAACAGCTCCCAAACATGAGGGAGCCCAAACTCGGAAGTACTAGGCATGTTCCAGTGAGTAGCTTCTATGATTTTTACCACTTAAAAGCAAGAAACACGTTTGTCTGTGGACGCAGTTACTGATCCAGCCACTGAGCTTGTCTCTAAGTCTTGAGTGGCCACAATTCCCATTTAAATAAACTAGCTGCCCTTTGACACATCTGCCTGGTCAGTGTTCTGACATTTTCTTTCTCTCTTTGTGCTCTTTGACAGAATGGACATCTGCAGCAGTGTTTGGAGACAGTACGGAAGGAGTTTATCATATTCAACCGGGAGAAGTAAGTTCACCTAGCCACACACACACACACACACACACACACACACACACACACAGAGTCTGTCCCCAGGGTCAAGGTCCCAAGTAGAAATGCAGTCACCCTAGGATCTGTTACCTCTGGCCTGAGCCTATTCCACAGGGCCAAAGCCAAGAGAGGTATAGTCACCCCTGGGCTCTGTCACTCTTAGGTTGAGCCCATCACCCAGAACTAAGGCACCCAGGAAAAGGTGGTCCAGCCCCACCAACAGTGAGTGACAGCAGGAGGACACAGCAGAGCAAACCCCCTAGTCCTAGAGAAAAGGATACTCCTACACTTGAAATTAGGATCTGCGTTCTAATCCTCAAAAGAAGTAGGCTCTGCTGGGCCTTGATGTTGGAGCCCTCAGGAAACCTTGTGGCAAGGTCCTTAGCCGCTCCAAGCTTCTTTGTCAGCATAGCAAAGTGAGAAATGATCCTTAGGATATAGAGTCTGTGTCACAGAGCATAGCAGCAGAAGGGGATGCTCGGCAGGGAAGTGGTAACTTCCGTTGCTGTTATTACTTGGGTTAAATGATGAGGTGTGTGGGCACCTCTGCTGCCTAGGCAGGTAAGGCATGGGGTGATGTGGGCCGGAGAGTGGCTCCCCAGAGTCTGAGCATCTGCAGGTTCTCTATTTCCCCCATCATCAGCCAGTGAAACAGTAAGAAAAGAAGCCTGCTCAGACAGTACCTGAAGCTCAGTAGCTGTGGTCCTTGTACCATCCATGGTGGTGAAGGGTAGGGTTGAGCACAGGATGTAAACAAGGCAACAAGGCATTCTGGGTCCCTAGCAAAACCAACCTGAGTGGCAGTGTCTCCAAAGTGTGAGAACAAAGCTGGGGAAAATAAACTCAGGGGCCCTGAAACAGCAGGAGGAGATTTCACATAGAGATAAAAGTGACTCTGAGGGCTCTCAACAGTTCCCAAGAACTCGGGATCCATGTCAGTTACTTCAGGTCTCCATCACAGGAAATTGAACCATGTTGTGCAGAGGGCAGCTGATCCCAGCATGCTCTTCTCAGCCAATAAACCATAGGGAAAGCACAGCTATCAGAAAGCCATTCTAGGCCAAGCACCATGGTTGGTTCTTTACAGTCATCTCCAGCTTCAGCACTGATGCTCAGCACAGTCTTAGTGTGCGTGTGTGCTTGCATCTGTGCATGGGTGCATGCGTGCATGCGTGCGTGTGTGTGTGTGTGTGTGTGTGTGTGTGTGTGTGTGTGTGTGTGTGTGTAGAAAGAGAGAGAGAGAGAGAATCTTATGCCTGAAATTACTGTGAAGTGTTTAGAGTTGAGATTCCACACAACTTTTTGGGGGCTCAGGTCCATATTCCTCTTTATGATACAAGTGATTCTTACTAACATTTTTTCGAAATATAGAGCCGTCAATGTGCCTTCCAAGTGAAGAAACCCCATGGTATGTGTGGTAGTCTCAGTTATCAATTTGATGATATTGAGAATCCTCTGAGAGATGGATGTCTGAGCATGCCTGCTGGAATTATCCTAATATCATTAAATTAATGGTTCATCCCACTAATTAATACCCAATTAATGGGTAGCACCATTCCCTGGCTGGGCTCCTGAATTCTATAATGGCGAAAGGGAGCTGAAAGGCAGCTTACATTTACCTTGTCTCCTTCTTGACTGGGGATGGAGGTGACCAATTCCTTGTAGCTCTGGCCACTGTGACTTCCCTGCTGTGATGGACTGTACTCTGGAACTGTGAGCACAATAAACCCTTTCTCCTTTAAGTTGCTTTTGTCAGAGTGTTTTAACAAAGCAACAGGAAAGGAAGCTGAGGCAGCACCAATGGGAAAGTGTGTGTCAGATGTGGCATAGGAACAGTAGTCTCTGAAGCAAGCACACAGGACACTGGTAACTTTCCCCGTGAGATCTTTACGTTGTTTTCCATGGATTAACCTGCTGTTATTTTATACCCAGGCTTCTTAAGAAGAAGCCATAGGCATCCCCCCTGGGGTGAGTTATCAGGAAGCCCCTCTGATTGAGGGTAACCCCACATCCACAGCAAAGAAGTCAAATATGAAGACAGAGAGATACTGCCACTGCCATAGCCCAAGGGACATTGAGGGATGTCCACCACCAACAATAGTGCAAGGAGTCAGGGAGGAGCAGCTCTGAGAGAGTTCTGAACTTGAGATCTCAGGAACACAATGGGAACAGAAGATAGATACAACCAGTCTGCCTTTCCTCTGGGCTGTTTGATCGAGTGAGATAGAGAAGAGAGCTGATTAGTGCTCGAGGCTGGCTGGAAATGATAACAAGAGGGTATTTCATGTCAGAAGAAATAGCCCTCCAACAGACACAAGCTTGGCTGCCTCACTGAACTCAGAGAGAATTCTGCCACGAATGGTGCCCAGAAAGCACAGTGGGAAGGGCGCTCAGCCTGGAGGGTCAAAATGAATCTGGGGTTCCCCCTCCAACACACTGTCATCCAGACCAGTTAGCAGGTTTTTTCTGTCCCATCCCTTCTCACTGCAAGAAAAAGGAATGGAGGAGGGACCCAGAAGGCTGCAGGTGGCTCACTTTTAACACCAAGGAGTTGCACCCAAGGAACTCAGTGGCTCACAGTTGTAGTCTTGAGATATAAGGACCTGGGGGTTGATGAAGTTGGCTAGGACTACCCAGAGGAAGCAAAAGCATTCCTGGAGAGTTTTTGAATTACCCTAACCATGTCTTTGCTTTCTTCCCTTCATCCCCAGTCAGATAACAATGGCTCAATTTGGCACAGTCCTTTCTGAACCCTCCTAGTCATTTCAGCTCTGTTTTGAGATGGTGTGTGTTTGTCCGTCCATCTGTTTGGTTGGTTGGTTGGTTGGGATTTTGGTTTGATTTAGCTTGGTGTTTTGAGACAGGGTTTCTCTGTGTAGCCTTAGCTGTCCTGGAACTCACTCTGTAGATCAGGCTAGCCTTGAACTCATTGAGAGGTCCAAGTGCTGGGATTAAGAGTGTGAGTTACTATCACTTGACTCTGCCCACTTGTTTTATCTGTAGAGAAACATGACAGGCTGTGTCTCCTTGGTCTGAAATGCTTGGGACCACAGGGTTTGGCATTTGGGGTCTTTCAGATGTTGGTGTGCCATGGCTGAGTTCCAGAGTTTTAAGCGCTTGACTCATCATGTGGAATTCTCTCAACACTGGTTGTTAAAATAATAAGTTGTCTGAGAAATTCAATGTTTCCTGTCATGAAAATAGACAGACAGGCAATCTACATGGGTAACATTCAACTCTGCCCACAGTGTCTGTACAATTCCTTCTCATTTCCTCGTCAGTTATGCGTCTTTGTATTGTAGAGTAGGCTGCAAGTGAGCAGGCACTGGGGGCCCATTGTGATGGTCTTAACTCTGCCCTGTTCATAGATTCCAGAAGATAGCTCCTCACAGTGAGGGTTCCCTGCTCACTCTCTGTCCTTCTCTCTGACTCCTTCACCTGAGCTCCTGGCAAGTGGGTAAGATGATGAGAATAGAGGATAAGCAGGTGGATGGATGGAGGGTAATCTGTGGGAGACTGATGATGGATGGGTGATAAACGGATGATAGATAGACAGATAGTTGATGTATGCATAATGTATGTGTGTGTGTGCATGAATGGACTGTGGGGTGAGTGGACATCTCAGTAGATGGAAAGGATAAATAATGGATGAGTGGAAAGACAAACTATACCGCTTAAAACGTTGGGGTGGATGGAAGGTGTGAATGGGTGAACAATGTGTATATTCATGAATGTAGACTAGGTCGGTAGGTAGATAGGTAGGAGTGAACATGAGGTGGGATGACAGAAAGACAAGAGAGCAGATGGACAAATGGATGGTACAGTATTTGAATGTGACCATAGATTTTAAAAAAATGGATGTATCTATAAATAATCAGATTAAAAATTGGATGGGTGTTGTGAGTGGCGGTAGTGCATGCCTTTAATCCCAGGACTCAGGGAGTCAGAGACAGGCAGATCTCTGTGAGCTCAAGACCAGCCTGGTCTATAAAGAGTGTCTACGAAAGCCAGGGCTATTACACAGAGAAACCCTATCTTGAAAAAAAAAAAAAGATGTTCATGGAATGTTTCCATGGATTTATGGATGGATACGGGGCTTCTCTGTAGGTTGATGGATTGATGAATGATGTATCTGTGGATAGATGGATAATGGATGGATGGATGGATGGATGGATGGATGGATGGATGAATGGATAGATGGATAATGGATGGATGGATGGATGGATGGATAGATGGATAGATGGATAATGGATGGATGAAATGATGGCAGCTCAGCTGTGGTGGAGAAAGCACAGGCTTCAGAGTTATGGCAGAAGTCCACCTGATTCCAGTCCTGGTGGCTGGAGAAAAAGCAGGGAGAGAGCCACCAAGTCAGTGTCCTATGAAACAGTGCTAGGTCGCTGAGTGCTCACTCAGGCACTGGCACTGGTGCACACATGCCTACTGGGCACATTCATACTCACTCTCAGCTGCCGTCTAGCTGAGGGGCACATTCTATGGCTCTTGTCTTAAGGTCAGCTGCAGCTCTCTGAGCATGACAGGCACAAGCAGAATTTTTTTTAATTAAGTAATTTATTTATTCACTTTATATCCCCATCTTAGCACCCTCCCTCCTCTCTTCCCAGTCCCATTCTCCCTCCTCTTCCCCCATCCCTCCTCCCTATTCCTCAGAAAGGGGAGCCCCCACCCACCCACCGACCCACCCCAGATCATAAGGCCACAACAGGAATGAGCTTGTTCTCTTCCACTGTGGCCTGGCGTGGTAGCCTTCCACAGGGGGAATGATCAAAAAGCAGGCACCCAACAGAGTCCATGTCAGAGTCAGCCCTGGTGCCTTTTATTAGGGGACCCACATGATCCCGTGTAGTTGCCCATCTGCTGCATCGGTATAGGGGGCCTAGGTCCTTGGTTGGTGCTTCAGTCTCCACAAGCCCAAAAATATGAAACACTTCATGAATTTTGTGTCATCCTTGCTCCAGGTCCATGCTATCTGCTCTGTATTATTCAACTTTTAGTAAATATGTTGCTGAAGCGAGCACAGAACTTTTTTTTTTTTTTTAAGAAAGGATTTTAATGTAAATGACTACAGTGAGTGGCCACTTGCTGTTGCCGTTTGACAGAAATATTACAGTTCAGGCCAATTCCACCTGAAGCCTGAAGCACATGTCTTTCTGAATAAGGTGGAACTAGTAATAATCCTCTTCTTTGGCTTGTGTGTGTCCGTGCACCCCCATGCAGGTGGAAGTCAGAGGTTGGCCATGTGTCTGCCTCAGTCACTCTTTGAACTCACATTTTGAGACAGAGTCTCTCATTAAATCTGATGCTTACAGATTCACCATGGCTGGCTGGCCAGCAAGACTTGGGATCTGACTGTCTCTGTCTCTTTAGAGTGGCATTCCAGGCCACCATGCCCAGCTGCCTTTTGTTGTTGCAATGACTTTAGCTCGGGTCCTCATGCTTGTAAGCACTTTATTGACTGAGCCATCTTCTCAGCCCCTCTTTGGATTTGAAAACAAAAACAAAAACAAAACAAAACAACAACAACAAAAACAATTTCTCACTATGTAGCCCTGACCTGCCTGAAACTATATAGCCCGAGCTGGCCTCAAATTTATGGTGATCCTCCTGCCTATGTCTTCCAAGAGCTGGAATTACTGATATGTACCACCACCCTGGGCTAGTAAGGATTATGATTTCCAGACTCACACTGGCAACTTCCCTTACATCTGTCTGATGATTCCTGCACAGCACAAGCCTCACTTTAGCTAAGGAAAAGAAGTCTCAGAGATGCTAAGCAGCTTAACCAAGGTAACTAGGGAGGTGAGAGCCCAGGTTTCAGTTGGGTTCTCTGCTGCCCCTTGAATGCCTCTGTTCCTCCTCTGGCCTGTGCCATGAACAGGCAAGTGGCAGGTGTGGTACAGTAAGTGAATCTGAACTTGGAGGTCAAAGAGGGAGGAATATAGACATCTTCCAACTGGCAGCAAGTGGCCAGCTGCTAAGAAATGCAGTGTTCAGACTGCTACTACCTCAGCATGGCCTGTCATGGAGTATTTCAACAGCCTGAGTGTTTGTTTGACTGTCCATATTTTTTAAAATTTATTTTATTAATTACATTTTATTCACTTTGTATCCCAGGTGTAGTCCCTCCCTTGTCCCCTTCCAATCCCACTCTTCCTTTCTTTTCTCCTCCCATGTCCTTCCCCAAATCCACTGTTAGGGGATGTACTCCTCCCCTTCCCTCTGACCCTAGATTATCAGGTCTCTTCCGGACTGGTTGCATTGTCTCCCTCTGTTGTCTGGTAAGACTGCTCCCCCTCAGAGGGAGGTAATCAAAGAGCCAGCCACTGAGTTCATGTCAGAGAGAGTCCCTGTTCCCCTTACTGTTCCATTTGGAGACTGAGTTACCATGGGCTAAATAGAAGCAGTCATCAAAAGTCTCCATTAAAAAACAACAAGAAAAGGCCCAGGACCAAATGGTTTCAGCTCCGACTTCTACCAGACCTTCAAAGAGTGAACTCCAATTTTCTTCAAACTATTCCACAAAATAGAAACAGAAGGAACATTACCAAACTCATTCTATGAGGCCACAGTCACCTTGTACCTAAACCACACAAAGACCCAACAACAACAAAAAAAGAACTTCAGACCTATCTCTCTTATGAACATTGATGCAAAAATACTCAATAAAACATTTACAAACCGAATCCAAGGACACATAAAAGATATCATCCACCATGACCATGAAGCCAAGTAGGGTTCATCCCAGGCCTGCAGAGGTGGTTCAGTATATGGAAATGCATCAATGTATCCACCACATAAACAAACTGAAGGAGAAAAACCACATGATCACCTCCCTAGACACCGGGAAAGCATTTGTCAAAATCCAACACCCATTCATGTTTAAAGTCTTGGAGAGATGAGGGATACAAGGCACATACCTAAACATAGTAAAGGAAGCCTGTAGCCAACATCAAAGTAAACAGAGAGAAACTCAAATCAATCCCCTGGAAATCAGGGACAAGGCAAGGCTCCGTATCTCTTCAACCTAGTACTTGAAGTCCTAGCTAGAGCAATAAGACAACTAAAGAAGGTAAAGGGAATATAAATTGGAATGGAAGAAGTCAAAGTACCACTATTTGCAGATGATATGATAGTATACATAAGTGTCCCCAACATTTCAACCAGAGAATTCCTTCAGCTGATAAACACCTTCAGCTAATAAACACCTTCAGCAAAGTGGCTGGATACAAAATTAACTCAAAAAAATCAGTAGCCCTCCTGTACACGAAAGACTGTCCAGATTTTTGTTTGTGGGATCTTTTGACCACTGCCCATCTCCTCTGCATCATAAACTCTGTGAAGATAAGAGCTGCTTTGCTTGCCAGGCATGGTCCCAGGCTTGGCTACTTCTCCACCCACAAGTATAAACAAAATGAATGGTGCATGGCTTCACCAACCAAATCTACTGGCTGTGAACCTGAACCAATTACATCTGTAATACTATAAATACCACAGGGATTGTACTGTTGGAATTATTATCTCCACTTAATAGACAGAGAAACTGAGGTTCTGTGTATTAAGTCACTCTCCAGGTATACCCAAGTCGAGCACTCTGCTGGGGAGCTCAGGTTCTGGCTTTGTATCAGGAGTATCTCACAAGTATGTGGTGCACCCAGCCCACAACCACTAACCAGGTCTGTGTTGTGCTTGTTGCAGACTCAGGAGACAGCAGGGACATGATGGCCAGCTCTCAGACCTGGAAGGCCGAATAGGAAGCCAGGCTTCGAGCAAGCTGCAGGACGGTCGAAACAACAACATCCTGAGCCACACGTGTCCCCGAGGCTGCAGCAGCTAAGCTCACCTGCCCAGAAGGCATCCTAACTGCCCTGATACCCAGCACCCCTCCTTTGTTCCCTGATGGTCCCCATCACACCCCTAAAGCATAATATGCAGAAGGAGCTCTGTACTAAGGTCTAGAGAACCTGGGCTCTCGTCCCTGCTTCCAACTGATTCACTGTGTGACCTTGAAAAAAATCAAGGTCACACATTCTCTGTGCCTCGGTTTTCAGCGTCTGCGGAAGGGGTTAAACAGCTCTCTGCCCCATCTCCAGTCACATAGTTGTGAGAATCCTGTTGAACTGCAGATATACATAAACTCTTGGGCATTGATAAAAAAGAGTTTATACATGTAAAATATCTCAATATTTGAAGCGTTCCCCTGGCCCCCCAAACAATTTAAACCATGAGAACTTTGCAATTTGGTCCACCCTAGCTTGTTAGATACCACTTTTAACAATATATAAATAGCTGGCACGTTTGCTGTTCCTATGGGACTCCCAGGTCCCAAAGCAACCAAGAAGAGCCATCCACAGATTTCCTGGCCTTCTGGAATGGTACAAAGCATAAAGACCAGCATAAAGACCAAGCCCAGGGGGTTCCATGCTGCAGAAGTGCTTTTCCCTGACTCATGGAAGGCTGCCCCACCTTTGGATTTCAGCAATCACCAGCTCTTACCATACCCCCATGTCCCTATGCCGATGGCACTCAGGTGCATCTCTGGTCATTCGTCCCTCCCACAGAGTATCATGGGATCCCAGAGGAGACCCATCCTGCACCAGTGCCCACCATCCTTCCAGATTTTTCTTCCTTGGAAGAGTATAAAATAAGCCCAGTCACTCAAGGGCTCCCTGGCTGGGCAGGCAGAGCTTCCTCTTGATCTATTAAGAAGCCTCGGTGCTTAGAGTCTATTGTAGACAGAAGCAGACACACTCAAGAAACAAAGCATTTTTTGACCTGGCCAGGGACCAGATGACCCTTGAGATGAGGATGCTAGCAAAGCTGCTGCCAAGACTGGAAGACACCCACAAGTCACGTGATTGTTCAAGGGTCAATTTCCTCACTTTCAAACAGGAAGAAGGTTGACCTTGCAGAGTTGTTATGGGGCTTGATAAGATCCCATGTGTACCACAGTGATGACTAACAGCCAGCAGCCATTTGTCATCACTTCTCATCCTCCTCATTTTTCCATCATTACCATCATCTTCTCCTTCCTCCTCTTCCTCATTATATTTATCGTCATCACCACCATCACGATCACTATCCTCCTCCTCTGTACTTTCTTGCCAACATGGCAGGTCTGTTTTCTGTGGACCAAGGATACTCCAAGTTTACAATTTTTTTTCTTTTCCTACCTGGAGCCTCTGAGGTCTGGACATCCCTGCTGAGATCAACTGTTTTCATTTTTGCATCAGTTTCCATTTTCCACTTTCTCACTATGATTCAAGTCTGTCAGTGTCATCGCTTAGATCTCTTGGGAGACATTTTAATGTATGGTAAGGTTTTACACTTTCCTTAAAATAAAAGCATTATGTCCTCCCTTAACTGAGTCCCCCCACGTCTGTCTCCTGCCCATTCTAGTGTCTCCTGGCCCTGTCTGCCCTCCTTGCCCTCCAGGATGCCGTAGCTGTTATTCTCTACACTGTGACCTGGAAGCAGTACAATTTCTTCTTGGGATGAGCTTGTGAATGAGAGGTGGGGGTGGGGTGGAAGTAACAGGATGGGGAATCCTGATTTCTTGGCTCTGTTTTGTCCATGTTTCTTGTTCAGAATAAATAATCACTCAGATATTCCTTGTAAATTGCTTCTCATTGAGGGATGGGTGGTATGCACCTTCTTCTTATAGATAAGGAGTTCAGAATTAATCAGAGATGACTGGAAGGGTGACTTAATCAGCTTTCTGTCACTATAGCAAAACACCTGAACTAACTTAGAAAGAGAAAAGTTTCTTTCAGCTTCGTTCTTTAAGGCTTGTGGGGAAGCAGCGTATGGCAGGGATGTGTGGTAGACAGACTTGCACGAGGATCCAAGGATCAGAAAGAGTAATGAGGAGTCAGAGTACCACTCTGTCCCACAATAGCACGCCCCCAGTGAACTGAATTTTCTCCTCAAGACCTCACCTCTTAAATGTCTCACTCCATCCAAATACCACCATCTAGGATCAAGCTTTTAAAACACAAACTGCTGGAAGATATAAGATTCAAGCTACAGCAGTTAGGGTGCTATGCCAATGACACACTGACTTGTCCCACAGAGAAAATTGAGCTTGACTATTCAAGGGTCCACCCCCCACACTTGATTATAATTTATATTGTTACTACTGTGTGTTTGTAAAGAGAGACTCTATCCTCAAGTGTAGAACAGAAATCCAGAAAAAGTACACGTAGACAAAATACGCTTTCTAATGTCTTCAAATTGCCACCTGGACTTCACACACATAAGAACACAGGAATCGGTGTCCTCCCTGTCTGTGGGTTTCTCGACTTTTCTCACCACCTTCCAGTCTTCCTCTCCACTTGGATGGCTTTCAGCTTGCACCTGTGCAGGTCACCACACCATATGGTAGAGGTCAGTGCCACCTCCGTCAAGCCTCCTGGGACGCATGGCAACATTAATCCACTCCAGGCATAGTTCCTCTGTATGAACTTCCATGATAATTCTCCACAGGTTTCATAGAACCCAGTTGGTAAGGGGCAAGCAACAGCTTTTTAATGAATGAGACGGGGGAACACAAACACAAACTGGCTATGTCTACTTGCTTTGGGTACCACCACCCAACCCACCCTCCACCTCCCCTACATTTCCCAGGACTCTCCAATGTTCTCAGGAACTGCCCTTCTTCAGAGGCACCTTTTCGTGAAGCCCAAGTTCCAAATGAGTTTTCCCTTCTCTCAGCCACCTCCATTCCCAGAGCGTATGATTTCAAGTCAGCTTTAGCTAAAGAGTAATCAGATTAAACCTATCATCCCTCTTTTTATATAAAATCTGCCTGAGGAGACACAAAGAAACATCCACTCGCCCCAGACAAAGCATTGACAAAAGACTGAAAGAATGATTCCACCAAAGTCCAACTTGATCAGCCAATGACTATATTAAAAGTATGGGACTGAAAGACAACTGTACCACGCAAAAGCTTGTCACAGCATGGGTGATAACTCATGAATTCTGCAGTCTTAGAGCACTCTGCACAATTGCAAGCTACTCAACAGATAGGGGACTCTCCTCTCTTTAGCAGTCTTTACCATTTAACAGTGGTGGTGGGGGGAAGGGCCTTCTGAATCTTGTAAGTTTCAGGGTTTTCTAAGACTTATGTGTTGTTCACTTCCAGACACTTAGGGAGCTTCCCTTAACAAGTTAATATTTTCCAAAACAATACAATATTTCAGTTCTGAAGAAACTACTACACAGCACCTTCTTATTTACAGGACTTCAATTTCAACCAACTACATTCCAAAAGTATTTTAAAATTGCATCTCTGCTTAATACTACAACTTTTTTTTTTCCCTGTCAGATCAATACAGTCTAAGAGTGATTTAAACAGTATTTACACTGTGCTAGGAATGATACTGATGGGGGAATGTTCTACAATTTGCCTCAACATGAGCCGATCTAGATGCAGACGGGTCATTGTCTCTAAAGAGCTGGAGTATCCTTGTATTTTGTTATCTGAGAGGACCTGGAATCAATGCCTTGGAAACGGTCCCTTCTGATCCTGGGATGGATCTACATGCCCAAGCGTAAGTTTGTGTTTAGATTCACCAGAGTGTTTGAAATACAGACACCAGGACAAGCAGTGGCATTGGCAGGACTTTTCTGTACCCACTGAGGAAGCTCAGGACCCCTGTCAGTAAGTTTAATCTCATGCACCTTTGTAGCACAGTGCCAAGGGGCTTTCCCAATTGCCTGCAAATATTCTATCATTTTTCCCAGAATGCTGAGAAATAAAAGCTTTCTCCTATTGGACTTTAGGGAATAAGGGGTAGGGAAAGAGAAGCCCCAGAAAGCCCACTGCTGGCCATGGAGTTTTATTTCTTATCTTCTTGATACCATATGTGGTATTCAAATGTCACCTTCAGGTTTCTTTCAGGACACAGCCTTTCCACCTTTTCTCTTCATGGGGTGGTTTGGGGACCATTAGGTCTTTCCCAGCATTGTACTCAGAATCTTACAAACCAGCCCACACAGTCACTCTCGGTGTAAGCCAAAGAAGTATACTTGGTGTAAGCAGAAAAAGCTAGAGGCCAACCTAAGGTGACAAAGGCCATCTTCTGACTCCAACCTCTACCCTGTCCTTCATGGCAGACCCCTGCAAAAGTTCCTGCCCTCCTGAGAACCTGGAGCCAGGAGGACACTTGTCACTGTGAGGGACTCATTCCTCATATCAAGAAAAGTGCTGCTTTGGGGAATGTTCATGCTGCTGAGAACGGCTTCCAAAGGCTTCCCACTACTGGCAGCAATAGTCAATATTAATGCACCCAGTATCACAAGGCCTTCGTCAATACCCATGTACCCAATATAACAATGCTTCAGTCCGTACCAGCGCACCCAGAATAGCAGCTCCATGAGATACCAGCTGGAATGTTCAATTGCCTGGTGACATGATAGCCACCATGATGTCAAAACATGGCACATTACTCATCTGGTGCCACTGCCAGCTGTCCAAAAGGGCAGCAATACAACCATGTGAGTCAGTCACACTGGCTAGCAGAAGCTTCTGACTCCCCCTGCTACACTGTTTATTATTTTAGAGTATGTCCATCCCATTTATAAAGTTTACTGTAAAACAGCATGACTCCTGCATTGCTAAGGCTTAATAATGGGGAGATGCCCTGAACCCCAGTAACACAGATTCTCTGTACTGGGCAGTGAGTGGCTCATGTCCAAGGAGACTCATCTAACTTGAGGATTAACTGTGAACAGGCAATGTCCTGTCAATGTCAAGAGGTTGGGCTTACCCAGAAGCAGCACATGGCACTTGGTACCTGGTTTGCATCACACACACACACACACACACACACACACACACACACACACACACAAGCACACACGGGATCTCTGAAGGGCTGTCTGTACCAAATCCTACAGACTCCTCACCCGCTGAATTGGTTGGATGTGGGAACCATCATTTTAAATAGTAACAGTAGTGCCATTGTGACATCATAGAATTCTTGGAGATGATCCTTAAACCTGAAAGTTCCAGGTCCACGAGTCTCAGAGACCTGAGCCTCTGTTCTAACAAGCACCCAGGATACGCAGGTCACCCTGGCGAGGGACCACACTGCAGTGGCAAGGATTTCAAACTTCTGGTCTCATCTTGACAGGCCACTTCTGCTGGTGTCTGTCCAATCTAAGGCTTCTTTCTCCCTAATGGCAACTCCAAGTACTTTCAACAGAGGTCTTGTGACCCACAAATCTGGAACATTTCCCAACTGACCCTGCACAGAAGACTTTTACCACACTCAGACTAGAAAACAGAGTGGGCCCAGTGAAAGGCAAATTACAAATGCAGATGCCATCTCCCTATGAAAGAAAAAGAATCTCCCTGGGAAAAGTCACAGGACAGGAGGTGAGTAGGTGATGAGGGTGGAGCCCTAAGGAATAGGATTAGTGTCCTTATTAAAAAGGTCAGAGGAGCTGTGTCCCTTCCATGATGTGAAGACATGAGAAAAAGGCCCCGTATGTGACCCAGGAAGTGGGCCTTCACTACAGAATGAATCAGCCTTCATCTTGGACTCTCTAGTTTTCAGAGCCATGGCAGACGACCTTCTCTTCTTCATAAGCCACTCAGACTATGGCATTATACTACAGCAGCCTGAACACGCATGCCATATCCTCAGCTAGCATTTAATAATTAAAGGGTCAAGTTGGTGAGAGCACTATCAGACTTCTGATCAGGATCACGAGAAACCCAAGTCTCACTTAATCAGTCAGTTTTTCCTATCTGTTCCCAAGCCAGCCGCACCAGATTCTCAAGGAACTTTAGGAAAGAAAGGGCCCTCAGCTTTTCCATCATCAAGGTTTTCTAGTCCTTTAAATCCTAGAGGCACACTCTAGGGGAATAAGTAGGCTGGGAGGGGCCTGTGACTTAACCCTCTCAACCTGGGACAAAACCAGGTTGAGAAACCAGGTTGAAACCAACTAGGCTGACTCAACACTGACTTTGTGCTTATTTGGGAGGCTATAGTGGCTCCCAAGAGAGCCTGAAGCTTAGTTCCCAGTGTAAAAAGGTGACAGTGAGGTAGCCTCCTAGGCCAGGAGGGACCACAGCTTGATCCAGAGCCCAAATTCAGTCCGGACCACGAGACAGCAGGGAACTGCCCACCGCCATGCCATGAGGTGCTGGCAGGGAATGCATGGCTCTGTCTTGTCACCATGCCACACAGTTGGGCTGTAGATACCTAGAGGCCTGCTTGTAGCCATGTCATGAAGAGGTCACCCAGAGGCTTGCCAGGCTTGTGGCCCACCTGTATCTGGAACCACTGCAATGTGTAAGTGTGTGGTGGACAGATGGGAGAGAAAGAGAGGAGGAACAGTTTGAGCATTATGAAGAGATGAGGAACTGGAGATGGGAGGGTGGAGAGGAATAGCCTGCAGTGAGTAGCCATCCCCATCACCTGAGGCCACGATGAAAGCTCAGGCCATGCTGCCACTGAAGGCCATGTCTGGGTCTGTGGTCATGCAGCAGCAGGAGTCTGTGCAGAGGTCCATGGTGCATATTACCACTACAGACCATGAAGATGTCCCTGGGTCTAAGCAACCTCCAGGGACCACATGAATGTCCA